ATAAAGCCAGGCTTACCACCTAGCCTGATATCAGAATCTACAGATTTTAAACACGAGCTGACGCTACAAGTTTTTCTCTGACCTTAACATACCTCTACACATATAAATAAAGACAACAGCTTTAAATGAAAAAAATAAATCATGAAGTAAATACAACAGAATGGTGGGTATACCTAAAATTATTATTTCTTCTTTGTAACTTCCAGTGTGCTTTAAATGTCTTTGCTTAAAGAATGAGTAACACCACAATTCTAATAAAGAATGAGTAACACCACAATTCTAAAACTTCGTTTTTCCTAATTAAGTTTTCAAAATGATAGAATTTCTAATTAAATACTAAGATGTCAATAAAACTTATCACAAAAATTGTTCAAGCAAGGAGTGGTGGTACGCACCTGTAAGTCCAGCCCTCAGGAGGCAGAAAGATTGCTAGCTCAGTGCTAACCCTTCTCAAAGCAAATAAAAACAAGGTCCAAATTCTCATTGTGAAATATATTTAAGTGTATGTCCATATGGTAAGTGAATGAAACACTTAGACATAAATTATAAGTACCCTGACCATAATATATATTTACATACATCTATACATATGTATACAGTATAAATATATAAACCTGTGGGTATCAGATTGGAAAACAATTTATAAATGAACCCATGAACTTTAAAGTTACAAAAGACTTTGGGTGAAGTGTCTTTGAAATGTTTATGTTTTAGATCTGGCTTAATGGATAAAGGAGTTTTTTAAATAAATATGTAATGAACTTCATATAAATTTTGACTTTTGTAATAATTTGGAAGTGCAGATTGAACCAAACTGAGCTCTGAAGATGCAAAGGAAGACAGAGTGGAGCCCTTTGGGTTTCCTTTCTGCTAACTCTTGTCTATTAAAGGATCAGGTTAAACAAACAGGCACACAGCAGGATGACTTGGGTCAAATCACTATACACACCCAATTTTCAAAGGTGGTGGCAGCCACAAGTCACACGGGAGCGATCCTCTGCTGTCCCTTTAAGGAAGGCGGTGCTTGGGGAACTTGGTTGTTCCATTTGTGTCTCAAATCAATCAGATAGAATTCTCCTTTACTGTGCTTGAATCCTGATAGCTCAGCACACTGGATAGGTAATTTAATCATGGCTGGTGTAGATGAACACAGACTTAAATTAGCTACTGAAAGGCCAAGCTTCTCTGAGTTAGCTGTGCTCTTCCACTTTTGTGCAAGAGCTGAGCTTCACCAACTGGCTAGCTGGAGGTGTTATTAAAAATTTAGTGAAAGAAACAAAGGTGTGCTGGGTGTCTCTCATTACCCTTTCTACGGTTACCCCGGCCGACAAAAGGCATAGAGCCCACTTCATGAATAATGTGACATGGAATATTCACAATCCATTTTTAATGCAGCCAAGCAATAACATTAAGGGAGATATTTGCAATCTTCAAATTTCACAGGGCTACTGGCACAGTAATTTGTTTTGATTCTAAACTGAGGGACATTGAGATAAATATTTTCCCAGTTTTTTTTAAAAGCACATAGGTAACATCAAAATTGTAATTTCTTGGCTAAGCATGCCTGTTATCCCAGCTACTTGAGGAGCTAAAGCAGGAGAATTACCAGTTCAGGCCCAGCCTATGTTACTCAGCAGAGAGAGAGAGAGAGAGAGAGAGAGAGAGAGAGAGAGAGAGAGAGAGAAAGAACTCATAATAGCATAGCATAAACATGGGGAAAATGAAAAAATGAAAGTGGACAAATATTCCAAATGTCACCAGGAAAGATGGGGAGGAGAAGACAGAACCCATGGGTTTCAATCAGTTCTACTCCTCTTTGTTATAATTTTACTTTCCAATCAGGTTGGAACTAGCAGACCAGTGTACACACCGACTTGTGAGCAAGATGTCTTATCTTCATTCAGTAAGGGCTTTGCCTCTGAGGATACTGTGAAACAAGTCCCCCACCCTTGGACCATTCATCACCCACAGTTTCTGAGTAAATTTTGAATGAGAGTAAACTGACATGGAAAGACCTAGTCTTGGAAAGCAAACAAGGATGGCCAAGGATTTAGATCTGGGAGAAGCAGCACAAAGACCCCCGAACTCCCACTTAGAAAGTTTTGTATGACTCCTGGCTGCAGGAGGAAACAGGCGACCCTCCATACCTACTGCTGATGAAGCTCCATGGGACTTGTCCCCCACTGCTATGTCTCCGAACACACACTGGCTACCCAGATGACATGCAGGAAATTGACTGGAAATGGACAGTGCTGGTGGGTCCCCTGGGTCATGTGCCTGAGGCTCCGGCTGGAAGCCTTCAGAGATCTGGTAGTAGGGAAGGCCAGGACCTTATTCTAGTTTCAGTCTTCTAAAGGACCTGCTGATCAGGCAGAGACAGAACAACCCTCTGCTGACTCGTGTATGTCAACTTGACACAAGTTGGAGTTATCTAAGAGGAGGGAATGTCAACTGACAAAATGCCTTCATAAGATCAGGCCATAGGCAAGCCTGTAGTGCATTTTCTTCATTGATGATTGATGGACCACCCAGGCTGATGGTTCTGGGTTCTATAAGAAGGCAGGCTGAACAAGCCCTGATGGGCAAGCCCACAAGCAATACTCCTCCAATGCCTGTGCATCAGCTCCTGCCTCCAACAGAGTTCCTGCCTTGGCTTCCCTCAACGGAATATGGCTTGGGCTATGTAAGCCAAAGAAACAAATAAGCCCTTCCCTCCACAAGTTGCTTTTATTCATGGTGTTTTATCACAGCAATAGTAACCCTAAGACAAACCCAGATCCCATTTCACTCTTCCTCACACATTTTAGGTTTGTAATTTGCCTTTAACATGGCAGTTACCCAATCAATCTCTCTCTCTTCCTCCCTCCTTCCTCCCCTCCCGCTCTCCTTCCCTCCTTTCCTCTTTCTCTCCCCTCTCCTCTCTAATCTCCATGGAATCTGAGTAGTCAGAATTAGATTGGGGGGGGAGGGTTAGGACCACAGCTATGTTTTATGGTCAAGTCACAGGATGCATCAGTGACAGAGTGAGACTCGAATCTGTGATGAAAAGATGGCTCAGAAGTTAAGAGCACCTGCTACTCTTGCAGAGGACCTGAGTTGGGACCAGTACCCGTATTAGACAGTCCACAACTGCCTTTAACTCCAGCATCAAGCCCTCCAACACCATTTTCTGTCCACCTCAGGCACCTGCACACTCATATACATACATTTACAACACACACACAAACACACACACACAAAAAAAAAAAACCTTTAAAAACACTCAGATCTCTAAATCAAAGGCCTATGATTTTCGTCTAGGAGCCTATGCCCTATTTTTTTTTTAAGGTAAAATTCTCAGAGGGAAGAACTGATGTTCCTATGGGACTATCCAGGACTCTACATGGCTACACACCTAAGTTTTCATTTAAGACATGTTAGCTAGGTGTAGTGGCACACACCTTTAATCCCAGCACTTAGGAGGCAGACAGATCTCTACAAATTCACAATATAGATACAGTGGGACCTTGTATCAAAAAAAGAGAGAGAGAAGGGTTGACTGATATTGATTGGTTGGCTGGCTGGCTGACGGTTGGTTGGTTGGTTGATTGGTTGGTTGGAAAGTCTAGCTCAGCAGGCTAGACTGCTTCCTATTCTTCCAGAGAACCTGAGTTTGGTTCCCAGCACACGTCTGGCAATTTGCAACCTCTCATAACTACTCCAGTCCCTCTCTACCCTCAGTGGGATACATACATTCATGTGTACATAGTCATGCACAAACAATGATGCACAGACACATGATTATAAAATAATAAAAATAAATCTTTTTTAAAAGAAATATCTCTGAGGCATAAAAGAAAGGGAAAAGTATGGAAACTGGAACAATAGACATTTACTCTTTGGTATTCCTCGGAAGTCCTCCAGTCCCAGCTTCCCCAACAGGAAAGAATATAAAAACACCAGTGTCCTTCACCTGAATTCCTGGTCTAATGAAAGGTAATTTGTAATAGTCGTAATAGTTTATTAAATTAAACATTCTAATAAATATCTAGCATACATAATGCACTCGGGGAGATTTAGACACATTTACAAGCCTCCCAGTAGATGATACACAAGGGGCAGGAGTTGAGGTCACAGCCTTTGCCCCACATCTACCAGCCCAGACATCTCATAAAATATCCACTTGATAAAAACTGGATTTGCTCATGAATTTTTGAAACAACCCTCCAGTTGCTTTTTGTTTGCACTTAAAAAGCTCCAAAAGAGTCAAAAAGGAAGTCTGAGTATTTGTGTGGCCTTTTCACAACCCCCTTGGAGGAGGAGAACACGGGCTCTAGAAACCTTGAGGTCCAGATGATAGCTTTTGAGGGGCAGTGATGGTGACTTTAGTCTCTGGCTCCCCAGGACCTAGCATGGTCCCTTATTCTGCCAACCTGTGATCAAAAAACGCTTGCTGAGTGAATGAAGAACATCCTGTCCCCAGGAACTGACCCACAGTCCGGCCTCCTCTGATGGCTCTGACTCCCTCTCAACGTCAAGGCCACTGTTTTCTGCTTCTTCTGACAAGCTTGATGGTACATCCAGTGATTTCAAAGGAATGAGGCCCCTCCCCTAAACCTGCAGCCAGCAGGAGGAGAAAGGGGTCAGCAGGCTCCCCAGAAGAAGAGAATACTGCTCTTCTTTCTAAATTGAGCATCAGCCCGTGCCCAAAGTTTAAGAGGCGATGCCTCCTGTTAGGAGCTGCCCAGAGTACTTTGCTGCCAGTGAGACAGGGCAGAAAAGTGACTGGGGGCGCACGCTTTCATTGGACCCCCATCTTCAGCTGTAGGGAAGCTGAAAGCCCAGACTCCGGGCTGACCTTTCGAAAGGGAGTTCATCCCCTCCAGCAGCTTTGGGAAGGAACGTGAAGGGGAATGGCCTTAGTGAGCTTTGCACACTGGACTGAGCAGGGGCTGGAGGCAGGCTGGGAAGGTGTCCTCCACAGTAGTGTTCACAGCTGGTGTTGCAGAAGGCCAAGCTATTCATTTGAGTCCATGCTGCGTCTCCCGGTGCCTCCTGAGGTCCACCTTCCTCTGGAAGCCCTTCCCACACAGGTCACAGCCAAAGGGCTTGAAACCCGTATGCTTCCTGCTGTGAGTGATGAGGTTGGAGCTCTGACTGAATGCTTTACCACACACCTGGCATTTGTGGGGCTTCTCACCTGCAAGGATGGAAGAACAAGGGCAGGAAGTATGAGCCTATGATAAAGCTGAGAGGGACCCGTTGATACCCACATGTTCTTGCTAGCAGCTGGCTAAGACCTTCAAGACGTTGGAGGGTGATGGGCTGCAACGTAAACCAACTCCTGGCCTGCAACTTGGTACCAGTAAGACGCGGGTGCACCAGGTGGAAGGGAGACTTTTTGAGTGGAGGCTCCCAGCCAAAGGTCTCAAACGGTTTCCTGCTAAACGGAAACTGAGCAGAGGCCACGTGCCCTCCCCAGCTGAATCCACTCCTAGGACTTGCCCGCCTGACTTTTAGAAGCACAGGGCCCCCAGCAGATGTTCGACAGGAGGTGGGAGGGGCTGCCCTACAGACCCTATGACTGCTGTCGTCAGAGGAAGTTTTCAAATCTGAGTTTCCAAGTGGGTGTTGTTTTGTGTGGCCAGTCGTTTTTTCTGGCTCTTGAAGAACACAGGTTTGTCCAATGTCTTATTTTTTTTTAATCTACATTAGAGCCACAAATCATTTCTTAAGATTGTCTATTCTTTTACTTTCTTCCTTTCTTTGAGGTTTTAAATCACAGGATCCTTAATATGCCAACAACCCTTCACTGCAGATCAGCAGATAACAGGCACAGGAAGGGAAATTTTTAAAAAAAAATAGGCAAAAGGAAGAAAACCAACAGCTTTTGCCTTTCCCTGCCTTGTGCACTGGTTAAAACTGGGGAAAATTAGCAAATTCCCAAATAGTCTTCCCATGGCTCTATGGTTGGGACTTGGCCTTGGGAGGAAAAACAAACAAAAAAGTGTCTGTCTGTCTGTCTGTCTGTCTGTTTTTAAGGAACCTTCCCTGTGTTCTTCCCTCTCTCTTCATACTTAAGATCTCCTGAAAAACTTACCCAACAAAACTTTCCCTGACCCTCAAAAGTCAAACATATTTGAAAAATGAATTTAGCCATAAAATAAATGTCTAATAAAGGCTTGAAGGTGTCATTCAGTCAAGATTCTAGTTGCATTTTAATAAGTGTCTTTTGTTTGTTTGTTTGTTTGTTTGTTTGTTTGTTTGAGACAGGGTTTCTCTGTAGCTTTGGAGACTCCTGGAACTCGCTCTGTAGACCACGCTGGCCTTGAACTCACAGAGATCTGCCTGCCTCTGCCTCCCGACTGCTGGGACTAAAGGCATGCATACACTACCACTGCCTGGCATTTGATAAATGTCTTGAACAATTTATAAATGGAAATTTTGGGCAAGGGGGCATGATCAAAGGGGGGTTTTCCTCAGTTTTCTGATACAAAGGTTGTTTACAAACAAGATTGTGGATTCCTGGAAGGCACTGTGATATTTTACTTTTTATGTATTTATTTACTGATTTTTAAAAAATATAAGATACTACACAGCCCTAGCTGGCCTACAACTCACTCTGTAGCCAAGGCTAGTCTCCATCTCCAGGGATGTGTCTGACTCTCTCTCTGCCTCCCCAGTGCCACCACGCCCAGATGTGATTTGATTTAAAGGGATGTTCATGTCCTTCGTAAAGCCAGAGATTGCAGTGTCATGTAACAGTCATGTTGACTGCTACAGGAAATGTTTAAGAGAATCACTTTAGTTCATAAGCATCTACATTAAGCCCACCCAACTGCACCGGAAGTGTTAAAGGAGTCCCAGGCTGGAAGCTAGAGCATTGAGGTTTACTCAAAGTGACATTGATACATCACTCAATGTATGGACAATAAAAGGACCTCATTTTACTGTGTGTGTGTGTGAAGCAGCAGGAAAAGACCAAAGGGAATGGACAATCTGAAACAGGGATTTTTAAAGCAATCTAATAGCTTAAGAATTATCACTACTAGGGAACAATATTGCTGATGTTTTGAAAAGAACAAATAACAGAAGTATCTTTCATTAACCAGCTCTCACAACTGAAAGTCCAATATAACAAACCAGTCAAGACTATATACACCGGAGAGCTCAGACCAACAGATCTGAACCTGAGTCCCGTGTGACCCTGGATAAGTTATAGGATCCCTCTGTGCCTCCATTTCCCCACCTCTACAATGGGACCAAAGAACAGTTTCTGTCTCTTGGAGTTGTCAACACAGACTTGGCAGAAAGCTCAGGAGCATTTGTCTTTCTTTTTCTACTCAAAGTAAGCTCTTATTAAAAAAATGAAGTGTAGGTGCCACACTGTGAATCCCAACAGCTCTAGTAAACACTGACAGTGATCTGGGATGTCAAAACCCTGTTAAGTTAGCTTAGAGGAAGACACTCCTTCATACCCAGTGCCAAAACAAAGTTCCCTCTAGGGAGGGAGAAGAACTCATCTGCCACTCACTGGAACCAGAATGGCAGAGGGAAGTCATGTCGACCTCCAAGCACCTCCTACAAGCCCAGGCCCTTCAAGTCACCTGTGTGGATGAAGGTGTGTTTCTTCATGTCGGACTTCTGGTGGAACCTCTTGCCACAGTACTGGCAGGGGTAGGGCCGGGTGTCCGAGTGAATGAGAAGGTGTGTGGACAGTGTGGATGACCTCTTGAAGCTCTTGCCACAGATCTTACAGTCAAAGCTTCGTTCCTGCAGACCGGACAGGAAGGGAGAGGGAGAAATGCATCACTCTGGCAGTCTTAGGTTGCTGCCCTCATTACCACTGACATCTCTCAAAGCCGGGAGAACTCTACTCCCCCTCCCTCCATTTAGTTTCAATCTCTATCCACCCTTCAACACCTACTCATTAACATGTTTTCTACCAAAACACTTTTCGGCCACAACCCTCCACACCCCAGGGCACTTTTGACACCCTTTGGCAGATTTCGCCACCCTCCTCAACGGGACCTCGGCCACTTAAGATGCCCCTTAGTCACTGTGGGTTTGGGGGAGGAGATGGGCTGTAGTCGCAGCCCCTTTGTGTAGTATGTTGCTTCTCTCCCTCTCTTTAATCACCATGCGGGCATCCGGGCATCCGACAAGGACCCAGTGTGCTACATGACTCTCCGGTGCTTGAAGCCTTGGTCTTAGGCAACAATTACTTATGAATGAATGAATGAATGAATGAATGAATGAATGAATCAATGAATCAATGAATGAATGAATGAATGGCTAGCACGTAGACTGTGAGCTGAGACCCTTCCTTGCCAGTCAGGAAGGATGAAGGGAACATAAACAGTGAAGCCAATGCTCCAGCTGCAAGCAGCAAACCTTCCTCGTGTCCAACAGAACTCCACCGCCGGAGGCTCACAGTGTGCGACACCACAATCTAAGATTGCTGCAAACCCCGGCCCTCTACCCACGTTTCTCCGCACACCTAAATCAGGTCAAGCAGAAGGGGCACCAGAAGGAGTCTGGAGGCAATGGGAAAGTGGCTGGTGCTGTATCGCGGAAAGGCTGAAAGGTCCCCCGGTGCAGCCGCAGCCCTCCAGAGCCCAAGCTTACCTGCGAGTGCACGGCCTTGTGCTGCTCCAGGCTCACTGCGTGCCCGAAGGTCTTGCCGCACATCTCGCATGCAAATGGTCTCGTGCCGCTGTGGGACCGGCGCACATGCACCTCCAGCCCGTGCGGTGTGGAGAACACCTGGGGGCGAGTGGGGCCAGGGAGAAGGCAGCTGAAGGGGGTCTCGGGGTGAGGACGCTGGAGGGTCACGGGCTGGGGACGCAGGCTCAGGGCTGAAGAGGCCAGGTGCTCGGGAGCCTCACCTTGCTGCATTTGATGCATTTGTAGGAGCCACCGCCCAGCAGCAGGCGGGTACACAGCAGCTCTGACTCCACCTTTACGCCCACGCTCTTGTCTGCGTGGATCTC